GGTACGAGGTGGCTTCTTTTACCTAACTTGCATCGTACGTGTAGATCTCCCCGCTCACAAAGTAGCGATGATGTGATGGAAATGGAGCTAGAGGCACAACCTAGAATTAAGCAGACGAGTATAAGGAACAGATGGAGACGAGGCCATTTTCTTTATGTTTGCCTAGGATCTAAAGATCAATGATCATGTGTTAATATCTTTTGATTATTGATCAATTTCTATTTGTTTCTTTGTTTGTTCCGTGGCAACGCACGTGTATTATGCTAGTATATGTACTAGAGGTTGGGGCGCCACCTAAGCGGTGCGAGGTATGCCTTCGCCCATTCAGCTACTTTGTTCACCTCTTGTTAGCACATATACACGACAATGGTGAGCTCTTTGATCCAAAGAGAAAAGCATTACAAGCAATGCAAATGAATCTCGTCTCTTTCCATATAAGTGAAACTGTAGCACATCACTAACAAACTGCAGCTTAGCTGCTTTTCGGGTGTGGATAAGTAAAACTCTTGCAAGAGCGTTTACGGACTGACAGCTCCACAATTTTTTACTCCCTGCTCCGCGTCCAACACCCTCACCTAAAGGAGATGCAAGGCGATATCAGGACAGGAAGGGTGGTGGCTGCTCGCCGGAGCAGGACCAGCCGATGTGCGTGACTGGAGCCACCGGCTACATCATCCAGTGGCTCGACCACACCCGCTTCGGCAGGGCCACCGTGTCCACGCCACAGCGTGGGACCCAGATGCACCAATGTTGAAAATCAATCAACAATGGAACATATTCAATTGTGTAGCAAACCTGCAATGCACCAAATATGATAAAAACTGGTATCAACCCAATTATTTTCCTTATAGAAACTTCCAAGTAAGGTGGAAGTCTTTTGTACATGATAATATTGCACCTTCTGTCCGTCCTTTCCTCTCTTCTAATGGCCATTCATTATAAATCCTTGTCACGGATGATGCTACTGATCAAAGATATTAATCTCACACGAAGTTCCTTCTCTTCAAATGTCCAACGTTTGACCAATCCAGCACAAAGAATGATGATGCTAGTTGCTAGCATAGATCTACTTTATCAGACTGAACAATTTTTCAGTTGTTAATCTCTGAAAATGCAGAATGCTTGTTCTGAAACATAGAACTTGTGTGGTGTTGCTCCGTACAGGAATTGCTTGTATGCATTCCTAAATAGTGGACAGGTGGTAGCTAGACTGAAGCTCGCTTGTGAAACATCAGTCATAAACATGTAGACGACCATGGTTTAACCAGTGAAGGGGCTAAAATTCAGTAGCCCAAATTAGGATTACACTTGACCTTTTCTATAGAGAAACCTAGGTACTGTAGTAGCATGTGTTTAGGTGGTAAAAACTAGGGTTCTACCCGGTCTAGGGCGTAGCCTGTAAGGAAAGGAGGGAGGAGGTCGGAGGAGATTGCGCGGCGGCCGGCGGCTGGGCGCCGTCCTTGCGGCTGGTGCGACGGCGGCGGACGCAAGAGGCGGCTAGGGTTTAGGTCTCCCGGCTCCCTAAGGGAAGCTGAGCAAATATTGATTGCTTCTTACTTGATTAGATTGATACATCTCCTCTCCTTATATAGAGAGGTTTACTTGACTCCTAAGCAAACGATCCTAATACGATAATATAATTGGGCTAAGCCCCTAATAATGATTAAGATACTTGGGCCATAACCCACTTGGCTAAGCCCCTAATATGCTGGTCATAACATTAGGTTAGTAGGTCGTAGCAAATGCAAAATCATGCTCAGTAAGGCCATGTATAGATGTATGCTAGTTACATTAGCACATACATACATGGAGAGAATTAATTTACCAATAATGTCAAGTGCTACCTTCTGCCTTTAATTGCAACTGAAAAAGCTCTGCTCTGAAAGTATGGTTGTGATCAATCACCTGTTCCGTTGTCTTTTTCTTCTCAAACTTGAAAAAAAAAACATGTGATTTTGCTCAACCTGGCCATCATAAAACCAAATACATCGACCAATCATGTCTTTAAAGCAAAAGAGCACCCTCCCAATCAAATCTGCTACAGCAGAAAGGAACATACACTACGTAAGAACTTGGAAGAAGGAACAAATTAATTAGGCCAGGAACCATATCTTACAGCAGGCCAAGTAAAAGGGTGTAGTCGTGTTGGACGCCATAGCAGGCAAGCGGACCACCACCGATATGCGGTACCATGACATGACCATGCTCTTGACCTACAGCACAGTCGTCGCGCCGTCCTCCTCGATCTGCGGGGCTTCCCTCCTCGCCGTCAAGCCGATGGTATATATATTTGTTAAAAGACCATGAGAATATTAGTAAGTGGGCTTATTCATTGAAACAGATAAATAGATAAGTAATAATCGCTTCAACTTTGAATGGAAGTCAAAGGTAAGGTACTGATTAACATCCTACAAGATGATAATCACAAATAGGAATAGCTACACACACAGAGAGAGACCATGAGAATATCAGTAAGTGGGCTTCAACCCAAAGGCGTTTTTCTCGCATCAATATTGGAATCCACTGCACTGATTGCCTTCTCTGTATGTCTTTAGCATATTTGCTAGCACTGAAATCTATAGGGAAAATTTTATGACGCAGACTATGAAAGAAAAGCATGAAGCACAGTACAACATAATTAGCTCACCGCTTCGTATGATCTCAGGTCAGTGTCATACTCTGATCTTCTTTAATTCCAAAGGCAAATGCTTCTGCAAAAAATTATCATTGAAGCAATCATATCAGAAATCCGTGAAACTGATTTATAGTGTGTACATCAAGAACAAGGAAAAAAGGAACATAAATGGGCATAGGATGCGTAGGCCATAGGATGTTCAGGACCAGTTTTAGCACCAGCAATCCCATCCATCTCCGAGAATGGATCATGCATACATATGCAATCTAAAGATTAAAAGGATCATATGCATTTGAAGCTGCAATTCCCATATCAAATAATGGATTTGCAAGTTTCCCTAAATACCAAGCAAAAAAATTTGGTTTTGTCAAAGCAAGATATAGAATGAGTAAAGCAATTCATATGTTCAAGAAAGGAAAATACCAGACTGACTACACAAGCATGGTATAAACTTCGTCGTTGCAAATTTGTGTTGATGCTCCTGTAAGGCTGTAACTTCAAACATCAATTCATGTTGCATTTTCTCGATGCATTCCCGGCAACTGTCCAGGACGGAAGTCATGCTACATATCAAGATTCCATCACATAAATCAACAAAACCTAAAACCTACAGAAAGATCAAACATAATTAGTTTGGAGAACACTCTGAAAATTGATATGGAATGTCATCAGCGACAGTGCATACAGAACCTGCATATGGGCCAGTATAGGGTCTGTATTGGCACTCTGATTCATGTTTTAACTTGCAATAATAAGGATACATTCGCAAGCATCCAAAGTTCTGGAACTTGGACATAAACTCTAGAGAGGCGCCAACCTTCTCCAAAGCAGGGCATCTTATGTTACCCAATTCACTCCTGCAAGTTGGGCGGCCATTATGAACCCTTGGCTTGCATTCAGAACAAATGGTTTGACCATTGGAGCACTGCATGCAGAAATGTGACAAAATAGTTAAAGTACCTCTAGAGTCTAAACACATTCATAACTTTCTTTCTGAGCTTAAGAATATGTAGTGTAAATTCAAAATAGTCATGAGATATCAGACCCTCCTAGTAGAATAATTTCACAAGGAACACTCTCAACAACATTGAAAATAAAAAAGGAGAGTGCTGCAATCTGTAAGTCCAAAATGTTTGCAGGGAGCTAGTCAGAGGTCGGCGTGATGCATGGGGTGGTTAATAGAAAGGAAGGGATGTCACCTATTAGTGTGAAAGTGATTCATAGAAAAAGGTTACAAACCAAAACCCTATTTTAGCTTTGCCTACCTTGGTTGGCAATTTCATATTCTTTTGCAACTGGATATTCTAATATATCGGCATACACATAGAAAGCCAAAAGCCTAGAATAAGGCTAGTATGATGCAACCGAGATGCTATAGTTAAATGTGATTAGTTCAGCAAGAAGACATACCCGATGAATTGGAGGATACATGGGAACCAAACACACAGGGCATTCCAATATCTCATGCACATTTGTAGAAACTATGACATTTGGTTTCCCTGAATGCTCGATAACATCACCGACGAGTTCTGTGACATTTGAATATCCCATTCTTTGGAGGCTCGATAACTTCAGCACCAATGTTGTCAAGATAGGCAATCGATGTCGCGACCAAACTTATAGATAAAATCATGTATGGATGAGAAATATTTAGGCTTGGAAGCAAATAGCAAGATAACATGATTTAATCCTGGGTGCAAAAAATGCCATGTCAAGCTCAAAGGATGGCTGGAACCTGATATAACTCTCAAGACAAGTATTATCATTAACATCACATCACGGCGGTACATAAAACTGATACATCAACCTGATAACATGAATTAAATAAAGGATCTATCATGAGTACTTGTACCCACTATACAGAGAACATTTCTCTCTATCAAATAAGTAACCTCATAGTAGATTGAATAGATTTTTGGAAGAAAAACTTGATCCAGTCCATGGGGTACCACGGAATAAAATTGTTGGGGTACTGAAAAAACCCCATTGATTTCAGCAAACATCATTCCTCGAAGTGAGGAATATTCAGTCCAAAACTACATCAAGTCACAATAGCAGTCTTCCATCCATTTGCAACAAATCAGTGTTATGATCAATACAAACATCAAATGGAAGGAACACATGATCGAGTTCAAGCAGAGGCAGAGTTGAATCGTCCGCATGGACATGAACAGGATCTGCCACAGTCTAGACTCTACAAGACTGAAATTAAATCATGTCGATGTGAAAATCAAACTCCAACTGAACATTGCATGTAGATTTTTACATTATTTTGCATTGTGGTAAGTACAATCAGGAATTGGTTGATTCTTGCTTATTTCTAATCGATGAACAAAATCTTATAGTTCAAGTTTCATCATCAGAACTCAAGTTAAAGAAGGTCCTTGCTAGAAAATCCTGTGTATGCTCCACAGTTTTATCATGGTCAACTAAGATCAACCATCCAATCATACGTAATCGTGTTTAGAGCTAACAGATGACTAATCTTCAATTCTTGATCCCCTTAATCTGAACTGTAACAATCCGATTACAGCTGCAGTGTCGAAATAGAACCTTTCAGATGGTCACTGGGCAACAGAATCAACAGGTAGAATTTCAATTCAGTAGCAATTTTTCATTTTAGACAGATTCATGGACCATGATTCAGCTACAAAACCAACTTCGAAACCCTAGAAATTAAGGGAGAGGGAGAGTGGGAAGACCATACCGTCAAGAAGGCTGCTGCCGGGGACGAGGGGCCGAGTGAAGCCACATATGGCGTCATAACCGTCGCCAACGAGCTAGCAGCACTAGTACAGGAAGAAAATGGGGATCCTGGCGACGGCGTAAGTCGTGTGTGAGGGAGATGGAGGGTAGCAACGTCGCGAGCTTCCTGTGAATCTCTGGCTGAAAGCATCGAGCGGGCCACCCGCACTGGCCGGCGCGTCCATGGGTCATTGGAGCTCAGCGTCTCTCCGAGCCGCGCGAGGCATAGGCGGGAGTCTCGCTGCTCCGACCCGCATCCACTAGCTGGCCACAAACATTCTCGTCCCATCCTCCATGGTTGGGCTGGTGAAGAGAGAGGAGATGAGGCGAGCGAGGCTGATGACGGCCGATGGATTAGGGCGTTATCGAGAGAAAAGGGTGAGACGAGAGAGAAAAGGGTGCTCACCTCAGGGAACCCGTGGAGATGCCTCCTCCGCGCGTGGAGGTTGTCCGGCGACGCCGCTGAGGAGGCCGCCGCCACGAGGCCCACAACCACCCCGAGCCTCCTGCACCAGATGCCGATCTAGTCGAGGTTGCTGGCGAAACGAGTGCGGGGCAGAGACGCGGGCGAGGAGGGATGGTCGCTGGTCGGGAGTTGCTTCACCAGTTGCTGGATCGGGCGGCCGCCTCCAGCAACGAGGCACACACAGATCGAAATCGCCGCCACCCGCGCGCAACCCCTCCGCCGGAGATGGAGTGCTGGCGCTCGAATCCCTGTCGCCAAGCTCGAGTTCGTTATTCCCCCACTCGTGGAGATGTCGAGGAGAAGAAGGGGAAGAGGCGAGGGAGTGGAGGCAAAGGTTGCGTGTGCGAGGAGAGGAAGACGAAAGTGAGGAGAGGGGGCGGCCGTATACGGACAGGCTAATCTGAGGAAAATATATCTGCCTCTCCCTATTCTTTTCTGGCCAATACGCGCGCGCGCTCAACAGTACAGCTTGCCGACTTGGCTGTCGGGGATTACTTGTCCCGACAGTTTTTCTGCCCTGGCCCATGTATTTCCCGGCAGTTTATATTCTCCCGGCATATACCATTACTGGCAGTTTGGGGGCGGCGAGGGCACATCGCCTTTGGGGGCGGCGGCGAGGGCACAACAAACTCGATTTGGGGGCGATTTGAAAGAGGAGTCTGGGAGATTGGGGCCGAGTCTATACTTCGTTCGGTGCCAAAATTTTCGCCTCTCACGGGCCTACCCTCGCTAGCACGCACCTTGGCCCAATATTATTTCGGTCTCTCGCTAAAATACGGTCCCCGGCAGCTAATGGGCCATAGTTTGGTTGTCCCGACAGATAGTGTGCCCTTTAATGTGGACATGATTACCGGCAGTTTATGCGCCCTTGTTCGCCAAGTTCTACCGGCAGTTTTTCTACCCTAAAGTACTTCTACCGGCAGTAACAAGCTTTTCGGCAGATCTTTTTCCCTTATTCACATACTTCTCCCGGCAGTTAATTGCCCCCAATTAAGTGTTGTGGTGTAGTGTGAATACAATACCTTCGGCCTTTTAACTTCATCTCAACAGCTCTCCTCAATAATGATTGCACATGCAGGATGCACCCGGACCTCATCAATCTCTGTTCTATCGAAAGCTTTTAATATTGATCCTTCCCAAATTCTACCCTGCTCCTTTTCTAAAAAAAACTACCCTGTTAGCAGCTACTGGATACTACTTTCCTTCAGTCATCTAATCTTTTGTATCGGGATCTAGTCGTTTAACTGGGAGTAAGACAGAAATAGATTAAGATTATGGCCATTCAAATGAAAAGCCTCACCAGCATGCATTTTACTATCTAAATAGCCATTGCTTACATATATAATTATATATGTTGCAACGAAAGCTCTTCACAAAATTAAAAATGTTTAGATATTTCTTAACTAGCATATCAATAAGAATTTAGGTAATCAGAAAATGTTCAGATCAAGAGTAGCATAATAGGGGATCATCCTTACAGGTTTTGAACCGGGATCTTGGACATGTTCATCCTAGAAATATCTGACAATGGAGGCCAATGATCCTGTTGGAGTGGGTCAATAAGAAATAAGCTCTTTAGGATCACCTCTCTGAAGAACCATGTTGCTAACTGTAACTGATAAGAAAACAAATAAGTGGACACTATAAAATACTACCTATTGATACGTTCATTTTTCATCATGTTTTTTTTACTGTTATTTATAATGTTTTTATCCATAATAATGCTTTTTGGAGTAATTATAATGCCTTTTCTCTCATAATTTGCAAGATACACACCAAGAGGGAGAATTCTGGCAGCTAGAAATCTGGACCTGAAAAAGCTACGTCGGGCCACCTATTCTGCACAACTCCAAATGAGTTGAAACTTCACGGAGATTTTTTATGGATTATTTAAGAAATATTGGATCCAATAATCACCAGAGGGGGCACCAGGTGGGTACAACCCACCTGGGCGCGCCAGGCCCCCCAGGCGCGCCCTGGTGGGTTGTGGCCTCCTCGGCCCACCTCCGGTGTCCATCTTCTGGTTGATACGTCTTCAACGTATCTATAATTTATGAAGTATTCATGCTGTTATATTATCTATCTTGGATGTTTAATGGGCTTTATTATACACTTTTATATGATTTTTGGGACTAACCTATTAACCTAGAGCCCAGTGCCAGTTTCTGTTTTCTCCTTGTTTTAGAGTATCGCAGAAAAGGAAAACCAAACGGAGTCCAATTGACGTGCAACTTGACGGAGATCATTTTTGGAGCAGAAGAAGCGCACGGAGTACCGAAAGAAGGTCAGAAGAGTCTCGGGCTGCCCACGAGGGTGGGGGCGCGCCCACCCCCTAGGGTGCGCCCCCCTGCCTCATGGACA